GGGGGGGGGGGCGCCTGGACGTTCCTGTCTGTTGCTGATGCTCTTTATGACGAAGTTTAGGGTTTTGGGTTAAGGGTTGCTTTCCTGATGCTACTGCTGCTCTGCTTCCCCTTCCTCTTGCGCCTGCTCGAAATGCAGTAGGCTTACTGCCACGCTTGCCCTCCATGCTGCGACCATTACTACCACAGCTGCCGCTGCTGCTGCTACTGCTNNCGACGGCGACTCCGACGACGACGACGGTGAGGACGACGGTGAGGACGAGTGCTGACATACCAGCCGTGGCTTTCCCTTCATGCGGAATTCTGTTCTTTTGTCCTGGGTTGTAGTCTAAAGTCTAAAGAGCTTCTCTACAAAAAACTTCCAAGCCAAAGGCGCTAGAAACTTTATTGGGGTTATAAGTATAGTTACCCTAATTATAACCCTACTTACTAAGTCCCATGATACTTTAAGTAAAGGCTCTGGAAACCGTAGGCTTCTAAAGCCCTGGTATGCCCCAACCTGTCCTCGCGACTCCAGAAACATCGGGTTGCTGGGGGTCCGGAGAAAGCCCGACCTGGGGCTCTAATTACCTACAGTTTTATGGGTTCTACCTACTAATTAAGGGGTCGTGGCTGCTAAACTGTAAGTAAAGAGAGTTACAGGGAAACCCAAGCCCAGAAATCAACACAAGTTGCCCGTGCCGATCAGGAAGCAACACGCGAAACCAGCGAAACGCCTTTTACCAAGACCTTCACTTTGCCCAATAGCCCTACAGTTGCGGCAAGAGCTGCGAGTTCATCATGTAGTCACTAAATGTAGTCTGACAGAGGGCCAAGTTCGGCACCCAAGCGTTCCAACGTTAGACCAGCTGCTACCACTCAGGTATGCTTCCCTTGCTCGGGAAGTTCATCTCGGTGCATTTCGTCGTAGCTACACTTGCGGCCCCTTATCTCAGATTGCGTTTGCGATGCGGGTAGTTGTCTACATCAGGTTCCGTTTTAGGGTCCTGTTCATAAGGGCGCCGTACTAGTTTGGGGACCTGATTAAAAGGGGATCCCAATTTAGTGAACTGCTCATGTGTTTAGGGGTCAAGGCCTGTTGGTGGGTTTTGGTAGGCGAACTCTAAGTCGGCCGTCATAAGGTGTTATGGGTAGTTCTCTACTTTAGGCACCCCTTCAAAACCCTAAACCCTAACGTCTGTTAGTGAGGATCTACGATGGTTAGGGCAACTGCTAGGGTTTAGGGTTTAGGGTTTTCTTCATATTAGATTGGCACACTCTTTTGGAGCCCCTCACCTAATCTAAGAGCCACTCAAGCAAGCAGCAGATGAACATCTGGACCCCCTAAACCCTAAACCCTAACCCGCCTGTAATCTGCAGAAAACGCGGATGCACGCCCAGGATTACGAGGAAGGTATTCTCTTGGAGTCTTAGAGCCCTTCTTGAATCGAAGCAGAGCTGTGCTCAAACCGGTCCTGGGCCCCCGGATGAGGCTCCGTTTGCGGGCTTTACGGTTTAGGGTAGCATTTCCGGAGTTGCGGGACGAATTCAATCTCGCTTTCGACCTATCCAGGCTGCAAACTCCAACACAGAAACTCCCGCCATCTCCCGTCTGAGCCTTTACCCGATGGCTCTAAATTAAAGGAAACTACAGGTGGGGAGTTTAGGGTGTATAGGGCTTCTACAAGGCGTCCATATGGTATATAGACTTTCTTTGCGGCTCCTATAACGGTAACTACCCACCTGAAAATGCCCCAGACTAAAGAGCCAAAGACACATCCATCGCTGAGTTCTGGCCTCTTTTGTCGCACATGCTGATCAACTTCTTTATGTGGCACTCCTGGTGCTACATGGAGGACAACGGGTTCCTTAGGTTTCGTCTTCAGACTGCACACGGTTGAAGGAGCTTGACATGGGAGTTACGGACTAGTACCAAGCGCATGAGGACTAGGAGTGGACGCACGGGCCGGCGCAGCGTAATTAAATGGTGGTGGGGGTGGTAGTAGTGGTCGTTCTGCTCGTCGTGGTTTGATGGTAGTAGTCCTCGTCTTCGTCGTAGTAGTATTAGTAGTAGCAGCAGTAGCAGCTGCTGGTGTTCTTGTTGTTGTTGTTGGTGGTGGTGTTGTTGGTGGAGATGGTGTTGGTTGGGTTGGTGCTGGTGTTGTCAGGTTGTTGTTTTGGTGGTGCTGGTGCTGCTGCTGCTGCTGCTGCTGCTGGTGATCCACAGCGTTAAGCCCGAACATTATTATACGTGCTGAGCAGCCCGCGATCCCCAAACCCTCGTGCGCATCGCGGGCATGCTTGAAGACCCCTTCGATGTCGGTTTCGGCTTTGGGGTTTTTGGGTTGAGGAGGAGCTTTGGGTTTAAGATGTCTATTTTTGGTGGGGTTTAAGCAGTCTTGGCATGTCTTGGCAGTTTCGAGGTCAACTAAACCCGAAACCCGAAACTGCTAAATGCTGAGGCCCCCCAGGCGGTGTTTAAGGGTTTGGGGCTTTCGAAGGTTTAAAGAAGCTCCTAAACCCTAAACTTAGTGGCTGAGTAGGTAACCTTTAACCTTTTGGGGTTTATATAATCCTACCATAATTGAAAAGGTTAACTTTTTTTGGGCTAGGGTACTCAGCCCCTAAGTAAACCCTAAACCCTAAACCCCTCATAGGCTAGGCCTGGGCATAGGAGTCTCGGAGCTCCAAACTGTTCAGGATCTGTTCAGCCCAGAGAACCCAATACCCCTGGATTAAGGAATAGACCTTCAATTATAGAGGCCTTAAGATTACGATCTATAAGGTGTATTCCTTAAGTAAGGAACATACTCTAGATTAGAGAGGCCTTAATGTTTTGATTTCCCTAAACCCTAAACCCTAAACCCTAAACCCTAAACCCTAAACCCTAAACTCTAAACCCTAAACCCTAAAAGGTCTATTCCTTACTTAAGGGGTCTTGGGTTCTCTGGGAGGATCATTGGGGTTTAAATCTGCTGGAAGAACGCTGGTACTGTAGCTGTAAGTACCTATGCAGGCATTAGGGTTTAGGGTTTAGGGTTTAGGGTTTAGGGTTTAGGGTTTAGGGTTTAGGGTTTAGAAAATCATGACATGTATATCTATGCATAGTTGGAGGCATACATCTTCACCCCTTTCTTGGAGGTTCATGGGTAGTTATAAGTGGGGTTATAAGTCCCCCTATATGGGATATAAGTATAGCTACCCTACTTGTAACCCCAGCTATAACTACCCATGAACCCCCAAGTTTGTTTGCTCAGGGGACGAGGATGTAGAAAGAAGGGCTCAGAGGTGACCCTAAACCCTAAACCCTAACCCTAAACCCTAACCCTAAACCCTAAACCCTAAACCCTAGACCCTAACCCTAAACCCCAGGTCGTCATGAACCCCAAGTCTTGGTCCTGGAGGACTTGCAGAAGACATGTGCTGAATGCTGTGTCCCGATGAATGCTGTCCACGAGCATGGCATCGGTGAGGCAAGGAAATGGGCACCGTTCTTTCTGAATTGACAAGGGATGTGTGTTGTATGTGCGTAGTCAGTAGGATCGCACCGACTACGTAAGCCGAATCCCTTATCAGGGACTTCCTTTAGTACACCCCCCTGCCGACATGGTTGACCAGAATTGGTTTTCTTTGCAGTTTGTTGTTACTATGGCTGACTCATACGATGGTTATGGGGACTAAACCCTAAACCCTAAACTCTAAACCCTAAAGCCCTAAAGCCCTAAACCCTAAACCCTAAACCTTAAACCTATACATAAGAGGATACCACTACTGTGAAGAGGTTTCTGCTTCGGGTTCTGTAGTGTTTCAGAATCAGAGTTTGGGGCCAGGGTTTAGGGTTTAGGGTTTAAGGTTAGGGTTTGGGGTGGCAAGAAGAAGTTGAGTCATCACGACGAGTGTAACTTTGAACATCATTACAGGGCTCCCCGATGAAATTAACGGCGTCGACGATTCATGACGGTGGTGCTGGTGTTGGTGGTGCTGCCGATCGCGAGGCCAAGAAGACGTTGTGACAGACATGAGTGCATGGTAATCTTCTCTGAACCCCGCAGTACAACCTAAGCCCTCAGACCGAAGTTGTTAATCCTGATCACGACCAGTTAAACCCCAAACCCCAAAGCCCAACATACAAACATAAACCCCAAACCGCACACCCCAATCCCTACATCCTCAACCCAGAAAAAAAGTTTCGCTAACCCGTCTAAGAGCACGTTTGACACAGACACCTGGCACCTTCTGGAGGATCGCTGCTTCTGTTTTAACAATGGGTTACGAAGGCCCCTATATCATAGAGCCCCGTGCGGAGCCCGTTACAAAACCCTGATAGGAACCCTGTTCAAATCATTGAGGCCCTTACAGTAAGCTAATCCCTACACCCTAAACCCTAAACCCCTCAACCCCTAAGCCCTCAACCCCCGTCTGGGCCAGGAGAGGATCATCCTGAATAGCTGGATGGTTTACATCCAAGAGAGAGCAAATGCCGGCCCTTTGACAGATCTTGCGGGGTGAACTCTAAGGAAACTATAGGGTTGAAAGATGTAGGGTTGAAAGTATAGGTTTAGGGACGGGTAGAGTGGCTTGAGGATGTTCAGTTTTACAAGATAATGCAGGGGCCTGAATAATTAGCATAGGGTTGTGGGCGTTCCTTATTACAATCATAGTATAGTATTCCCCAAACCCAATTCTAATTAAGGCCCCTGCATTAGGACGTTCAGGTCGTGAGGGCGACCGTCTCGGGCTTCGTTCAAGACTTGGCGCAGCCACGAAAAGCCTGTGTTCGGATATCGCCGACACCGAAACCTTAGTACCGCTAAAGCTTAAATCCCTAAACCCTATACTGTAGAAGCCTTTAAAATAATTGCTATTATTATTCCTTAGGGTTCCTGATTATAAGAATGCTACAAAGGAGCCCAAAAACCTAATCTATTTGTTAAGGCTCCTACATTGTATCCTAGACCTCTGGAAGCTTTGTGACAAAGGCTCTGCAAAGATACCGTTCCACCATCCCAAACCCTGCTGCCAGCCCCAGGAAGCCGAATGTAGGGGCCTAAATATTTTTACCAGTATGATTGTTTTCGGGTTCCTTGTTACAAGACTAGTAGAATGACACCCAAAACCCGATTCGAATTATTAGTGCCAAAGGTTTTGTCAAATTCTAGCCTCCGGATTCACCTGAGGGTCCAGAAAGTTTAAGGTTTAGCATGTAGGGTACTGCCAAAATCCCAAGACCAACCCTAAACCCAAAACCCACCCAATCCGGCTCCCGAACCTCCGTTTCCCACAGGGCCTCTACTATAAAGTCCTGCAGAACCCACGACCCCCCAATGCAAACAATGCAAACGGAACAAGGGTTTAGGGTTTGGGGTCGAGGGGTTGGGGTTGAGGATTTAGGGTTGAGGGTTTAGGGTTGAGGGGTTGGGGTTGAGGGTTTTTTGAGCCTCCCATCTCCATCTCCCTGCTCGTCTCGAAATGAAACTCCTTCATCAGAGCAAAAGGCTTATGAGTTTGATTTAATAAAGCATTCCCCTTGTCTTACTAGTAATAGTAACTGGTTTTAGGGATTGATATCTGTCAGTCTCACCAAGTTACCAGTCTAAGTTGCATGATCATCCTTCTTCCTCTATTGTTTCGACATGAACTGGTTCCCTGTTGGGGCTATATTAAACATGATCATTCTTATTGGGTTTTTATTTTAACAAAAATGTAAAATTGTAGCCAACAAGGACACAGTGAAGCTCCTTCTGGGAGGCCTCTGCAGAGACGTTCGTCGGCCCTGTCCTGGGAGTTCTGAACAGCTTTGCAGTGACCTAGACGTTTCAAGGGTCTAGGGTTTAGGGTTTAGGGTTTAGGGTTTAGAATTTAGGGTTTAGGGTTTAAGGTTTAGGGTGCAGAAGCAGCTCCCTTAATGGGGTTCCGACAAAGTACACTTTAGTATCTGCCCACAAGAAGCTTCCCCATCTAAGCCAACAAGATAAACTGTCATGACTGTCATGATTTCACCCTCGCCGAAACCTAAACATCCAAACCCTAAACCCTAAACCCTAAACCCTGAATAAATCATGGAGCATCTTCAACACGCCCTTGTAACGTGTTTAAACCTTTGGGCTGAGAGGCTGAGTCTCGGGTTTATGGCCTTGTAATAAGCAACTTGCTGGACTTCCTAAACCCTAAACTCTAAGCCCTAAACCCTAAGCTTCTTCAAGTGTCGCTCTCTGTGAAGCTTAGTTTTGAGTTTTTCGCGACCTTTCACACCTTACCAGTCCCTGATACCCGACTTAAAACCCAAATCCTGTCACCCCCTTGGCCCTCAGACTCTCTGAACCCTCCTGGGGTTTAGGGTTTAGGGTTTAGGGGTTAGAGGTTTAGGGTTTAGGGTTTAGGGTTTAGGGTTTAGGTTTTAGGGTTTAGGGTTTAGGGTTTAGGGCTTGAAGCTACAATACCACCTTTCGCCCCGAAGAGGAAACCGACATCATGCAAAGTGTCCATCTTTTTAAGGCCCTCGTGGGCACGCCCAGGGCAGCGCCGAAGACGGCCGCTGAGGGGCATCGGGGGAAGGGCTTCCTGGAAAGGAATTGGTTTAGGGTTTAGGGTTTAAGGTTTAGGGTTTAGGGTTTAGGGTTTAGGGTTTAGGGGTCTTTGGTTCAGGGTGGAGGCTGGAATCTAATGTAGAAGCCTTAATAATTCGAAGAGTGTTTTGGGGTATATATTATCCTATAAACCCCAAAATAGAATGGGTAACTATTCCAGGACCCTCCAAGTACCCTCAAATCGGGGTATAGGGTCCCAAATTAAGGGTATTTAGGGGCTGATAGAGGGTAGATGGAGGGTCTAGGTTCAGGCCTTTTTATTAGGGGTTGAAGCTCAGCTCTGGAGTTTTGGGATGAGGCTTTCTCAGCAGGCTTCGCAGCGATTCCAGAAGTGAGCTTCGCGACCTGCTTAAGCATCTCTACGACCAAAAGAACGGATCCATATGATATTGCATGTCTCCGTATATATCTATATATGTATGTATAGTATACATACGTCTGTAGGCTGTATATATATATATATATACAATAATACCTGGTGTCGTGTATATATGAACACTCTTTATATATATATAGAGAGAGAGAGACTTATATAGAGATACAAAACACAAATCCCCGTTACAACGGTAGTTGAGGTCAACTTCCTGAGCAGTCGTCGCTGTGGTCGAAGCATCACAACGACTGTAAACGATCGAGGTACAGTAGCAGCGACGAAGAACAAGGCAGTTCCTGGACCCGCGAAACCTTGTCTGACATATCCTGAATTGAGGTTTCAGACGGTTTAGGGTTTAGGGTTTAGGGTTTAGGGTTACCCTAAACCCTAAACCCTAAACCGTTTACAGGGTGCATCCCCCACCTGCCAGGCGGGGGGCGCAAGATTTGCGGCGTGCTGCGGCAGGGGCCAGGCCCCACTATCATGGTGGCAAGCATGGCTGCAGTCAAGAGACGCTACAAACCTTAGGGTTTAGGGTTTAGGGTTTAGGGTTTCGGGTTCTTGCACTGAAAACATCTGAAAACCCTAAACTTTAAACCTGCACTGCGAGCGGTAAACCGCACTCCAAGGCCTTGACCCTGAATTCAAGAGCCTACACTACACCCTAAACTTCAAAACCTAAACCCTGAACTCAATCCCCTTTCTTCGTTAAGGCTGCTAGTTTTGTCGGAGCCTTATGCGCTGCTGCAAGCGAGTTTGGGGCGTTCGGGGTTGAGGGCTTGGAGTTTAACTTTTACAGGGGCAGTGCTAAGATAAGCTAGTGCAGGCTTTGTTGTATCAGAAGCCGGCTACAGCCAGGGCCTTGAACAGTTAGACCAGGTCTTTGATAGGGAGCCCTGACAGCTAGCTACATGGCCTTCTTGCGAAATCATATTATATAAGGACTTACCTAAACCCTAAACCGTAAACCCTAAACCCTGAACCCTGAACCCTAACCCCTAAACCCTAAATCCTAAACCCCTATATTACCTACATGGAGTCACGCAGCCTGCTCCTATGCTTTGGAGAACCGGGCCGGAACCTCACAGCTCCGGAGTTCAAGCCAGGGCACTCCCAACAGAAAACTCCGCTCTGCAGACTCGCGCTACCCGCAATGTGCAGGTTTTACAGTTTTGGTATTCGGGTCACCTAGATTCTATGGATTTCGACGTGGATTGAAACTCAGGACCAGGAACACTTACACTCTACTGTACCTTAAGAACCCAAAACCTACCTTTTTGTAGGGCCCCTATAAATCCCATATTGGGGTTTATACTAAGAACCTACAAAAAAGTGGGTTTGGGGTTCTTAAGGTAAACCCCAAGCTCCAAACGGTTTCGAAGTCCGCTTCTTCTGGGCAGCCCCAAACCCTAAACCCTAAACCCTAAACCCTAAACCCTAAACCCTAAACCCTAAACCCTAAACCCTAAAACCCTAAATCCTAGGCCCAGAAGCCCCAGAAAGCAACAACCCAGTGCCCCGCCTCGCCATCTGAGGCGCTAGGTCTCATCACTTTGGGAGCAGAAAGGGCCCAGGGACTCGGGGGTTTAGGGTTTAGGGTTTAGGGTGTAGGGTTTAGGGTTCAGGGGTTTAGGGTTTAGGGTTTAGGGTTCGGGGGTGATGATTTAGGATTTACGGGTTGAGAAGTTTGCAGCTATCAAGTGCCCTGGGGATTTCGGGACTCCAAGATGTGATAGGGCTTGTTGTGCGGGGTTGTGGTTGGGTGTAAGTAAGGATTAGGCTTGTAGATCCCTCAATTAAGGATTTGGGGGGTTGAAGCTACAGGCTTAAAGGTTTCAGATTTATGGATTTCTTTGCCACTATACTGAACTCTCCAGGAGCCAGCAGCAAGGCCTGTTAGAGGGAAACGGTGGGATCAGGCTGCTGGCTTTGCGTGATGGGGTGGCCGCAGCATGACCCTGCTGTCTTCGGTGTGCCACTACCTGGGCATACCAGTGCAACCACTCACGCGCAGTGTCCCGACGGTCTGTAACAATTCGATGATCACCCTCATGAATCGTGAGTCTCTCTTGTCAGAGCCACACTACTATTACTACTACTACTACTACTACTACTACTACGACGACGACGACGACGACGACGACGACGACGACGACGACGACCACGATGACGACGACGACGACGACGACGACGACGACGACGACGACGACCGACGAATGCTACTACTGCTACTACACTGCACAGGCGAACACAGTCACTCGTCCCCAGACTTTGCCATTTGGCTTGGGCTTAGATGTACGGCTTCTGAGTTGGGGTTGGGGCTCAGAGAAGTTCAGCCCTACTACAGCCGCATTGCACAGCAAGCTTAGTCGTTTTGGGGATCAAAACCAGCGCCCCAGACCTGTAGAGTCTTCAACACTTGGGAAGTACTCGAGTACTCGAGTATCACAACAATGGAATTCTGGACTGATTGAATCGCGAATTTAGGTAGTTCCCTTGCCCCCCACTCGTCGAGGACCATAGGCTGCTAGACATCCTGGTGCAATGACAGCTGCAGACTGGCACTCTCTTGAGAAGTCTGCCCGCTGCTTCTGCACATTCTGCACATCGTTTTACTCCTGACGCCGCGCGACAGTTGGACCTTCCTGGATCCACAGAAGCAGCTTCTAGCTCGGGAAGGGCGGGGGCCAAGTCCTCCTAGCACAGAGCAGCGGCGTCGCCGGAGAGGCCCAGGCCAGGTTCAAGCTCTCGCTGGTCTTTGCTCTAACTCGGCGCTAGTCTTCTCATACTGGTTCCAGCTGCGTCCTGTGCGCCACCTGCGGGTATAATCCGATATCTTCTACGTCCCGGTGCCCTTCACAGGGTTCCTATGTTACTTGCCCTGCTCTTCTTCAGGCCGATGCCCACCTCCTTGCTCTTTCCACCAGGTGGCCCCCGGAGATCAAAGGAAAGTCAGACCTTCTCCGTCCTTCTCGGCCTCCTTGGGCTCCTTGGGCTCTTCGGACTCCTTGGGCTCCTTGGGCTCCGACTCCTTGGCCTCTGGAGCTTCACTGCTGGCGTCTTGAGTCAAGTTAGGATGCCTAACATGCTGAAGCTATGCTGATGAAGAAGAGTATGATGGCAACTAATTGCTGCAGCTGGTGTCAAGAGCTGTATGTCGATGATGCTCTGTTAGGACTATGGCTACGACTACGAACGTGACTTCTTGCTTGAAGGAAATCACACTTCTCATCGCCGTCGCGACTTCGACGAAGTCGTCCTAGCTTCTGTTGTTGTTCCCTCTCTCTCTCCCTCTCTGCCTCGGAGTCGACTGGCCCTTCATCGTCCAGGTCAATTAGACCCCCAGCCGCAGGGGCTCCTGGGCCTTGACCACGGCCCCCGCGCGCCTTCGCGTCGGCCTGGGGTTGAGGATGGGATGTCTGCAAGGCTCTGGGGCCCTAGGGGCCTGGGTTTCATGGATTGGGCGCCTGGGTGATGATGACGTCGGCATTGTCAGTGGAGGTGATCATCACGTCGTCGGAGCTGGAGGATCGCTTCCTCTTCTTCTTGCTCTTGCGCACGCCGAGGTCCCGGTTCCTCTTGTTTACCTCCTGGTGATGGGCTGATCCGAAGCTCCCTCTGCTACTAAGAGCCTCAATAGTTGGAACTGGGCCTTGGGAGATCAAGGAGCTCAAAGAAATACATAACCCGAAGGGCGCACACCCAAACCCTAGCCCCAACCCAAAAAGAGCCAAACCCCGGTCCTGGTCCTTAAGAGCGCAGGAACGGCAGGAATTGGGCACATTCCCAACCCTAAGCCCATGGATTATCAATCCGACACCCTAAAACTCTCACCCTTCAAACCTGGAAGGGCCCAGGAGCCCAAAACCCACACAGCTGAAGGTGATGTCCTATCTCGGATGTAGAAACCCTACATCTGCAAGGTAATATTCGAAGGTGAACCATCATAATACGAATCATCAACGATAATACTGCTAATCATCCTAGTACCAGTAATCTGGTGTCTTTTCTAGGGTAAGTTCCTGAGGTTCGCGTCCTTCAGCGCCGCCCTGACCTGAGCCATCTTCTGGTCTTGGTCGTCCGCCGGCTCAGCGGCCTTCTCTTTTCGGGCCGGAGGGTGAGTTTTTGGGGGTTCAGGGCTGTTTAGGGTTTGGGGTTTAGGGTTTAGGGTTTGGGGTTTAGGGTTTGGGGTTTGGGCTTTGGGGTTTGGGGTTCGGGGTTAAGGGTTTGGGGTTTGGGGTTTAGGGTTTGGGGTTTAGGGCTTGGGGCTTTGTGGCGGCTCAGGGCTTTGGCATCTTGGGGTTTCTATGGTTTTGGGGTGGGGTTGCGTGTCCTGGGCTTGGGGTTAAAGGGGTTTAGGGCTGGGTGTTCGTGGTTCTAGAGCCTCGAAATCCCTGAGACTGCGGAAAATAACCTTACACCCTAAACTCCAAACCCTCAACCCAAAACCCAACACCCCAAGCCCAAAACTCTAAACCCTAAACCCTAAACCCAAAGCACCCCCCTAAACCCTAAACCCTCAAACCCTAAACCCTAAACCCTCGACCCTAAACCCAAAACCCTCAACCCTCAACCCTAAACCCTCAACCCTAGACCCTCAAGCCTAAACCCGAAGTCCCTAATCCTTACACCCTCTTAATCCCAGGAACCCGAAGTTAATCCTAAACCCTAAACCCTAATCCCTGAACCCTAATCTCTAAACCCTAAACCCTCAACCCAGAACCTGAAGTCCCTAATCTCAACCCTCAAACCCTAAACCCCAAGTCCCTAATCCCGAAGTCCCTAATCCCTGATCCCGAATCCTAAACCCTCAACCTTCAACCCTAATCCCAGGAGCCCGAAGTCCCTGATCCCTAAACCCTAAACCCTCAAACCTCAAACCCTAAACCCGAAGTCCTAAACCCTCAAGCCCTAAACCCAAAACCCTTGACCTCTAAACCCCAAGCCCTAAACCCTCAACCCTAAACCCCAAGTCCCTAATCCCTGAACCCTCTTAATCCCAGGAACCCGAAGATAATCCTAAACTCTAAACCCCAAAACCCCAAACCTTAAACCCTAAACCCTTAAACCCTAAACCCCAAACCCTAAACCCTCAACCCTAACCCCAGGAGCCCGAAGGCCCTGATCCGGCCTCCGGGTTCTCGGCCTGAAGCTTCTTCCAGGCCTCGAGGCGCTTCCGGCGCTTCTCCTGCGGCGCGCTTTGGGGAGACTCCAATATCCCTTAATTAAGGGTTTTAGGGTTTAGGGTTTAGGGTTTAGGGTTTAGGGTTTAGGGTGTAGGGTTTAGGGTTTAGGGAATATACCTTAAATTATAGCAGGATCCTTAATAAGATTTAAGGTATATTCCTTAATGTTGGAGTCTCTGGGTTTGGGGGGGGCCGAACGGAAGCCTTTGGGTTGGGGGTTTAGGGTGTAGGGTTTATGAGGGTTGAGGGGTTTAGGGGTTTAGGGTTGAGGGGTTTAGGGTTTAGGGTTTTGGGTTGAGGGGTTTAGGGCTTTAGGGTTGAGGGTTTAGGGGTTTAGGGGCTTGGGTTTTGGGTTGAGGGTTTAGGAGTTTTGGGTTTAGGGTTTAGGGTTTAGGGTTGAGGGTTTAGGATTTAGGGGTTTGGGGTTTAGGGTTGAGGGTTTAGGGTTGAGGGTTTAGGGCTTTGGGGGAGGTTCTATAAGAGTTCTGAATAAGGGTTCTGTAAAAGTCCGAACACAGGGTTCTACAAGCACTCTAGATAAGGGTCAGAACCAGTGCTCCAAAGGCTTTTGGCTTCCGGGTTTTGGTGAGGGATTTTTCGTTCTCTCGGCCCATGCGTATACACATGTCTGTGACGGAGAGAAGCCTAGAAGCAGTTCAGCAAGGAATGGAGCGTTTTAGGGCTTAGGACTTGAGGGGTTAAGGGGGGCTTTGGTGCGATACAACCTTTATAATTATACAGCCCCTAAAAAACCTTCAAAACCTAAACCCGAACCCGAAACCCTAAACCCCTACAGCCCGAAACCCTAAACTCTAAACCCCTGTAGTACCCGTAAAAGCCTAAAGTACCCTAAAACACTGCCTCCTCTTCAGGCGTGGTCAGCTTGAGATCTCCTTGGTTCACGGCCGCCTCCTGTCAAAACTTCCGGCCAGCGCACGGGGTCCCAACACTAATCAACCTCACAGCCCATGTTCCGACTTCTCGGATTCAGTTTTGTGGATGTCATGAAATACTCAAGAGGCTTGTCGATGATTGTAACGAACTTCCGGTTTCCAGTTGCAAGGCTTTCCTGGAATAAAAGCTTCATCTCAAACCCTCGAAGCACCCAATTAATCCCTCCCAAAGCCCCTCATAGAATCCCAAGAAGAATCCTTCCAACTCAAGCAAAGTCCCAAAAAAAAATGCGCAGAACTGGCCTGGGCGATGGACATCCCCGAGCTCCCGGGCCTGGCTTTGATACATGTGGGGGGGCCCTCATACTTCGATTTTGAGTCCAGGGTTTAGGGTTTAGTGGGGGGGCCTTCTACGTAGAAGGATTTTGAGGAAACCTCAGGAATAATGCTTAGAATAATGCTTCTAATTGCTCAGGCTTCTATCTTATGTGGCTTCTGGGGTCTGGGGCGTAGGGGCTCTACAAGGACTCCATGAGGCTTGTAGGGTTCTGCGAAGGGTCTACAAGGGTCATGAGTTTAGGGCTTGAGGGCTTGATGTAGTTCCTAGGGTTGAGGGCTGAGGCTTTTTGGGTTTATGGCTGCAAAAGCGCTTGGGGTTTCGGGCGTCAAAAGCTTTAGGGCTTCAGGGTTTAGGGTTTAGGGTCTGGGACTTAGGCTAGTAGGGCTTGAGGTTGCGGGCACTGCGGATTAGGATGTGAAACTGGGGAAGTATGGTTCCATGGTTACAACAATCCCGTCCATGCAAGCCCCGATTCGGATTACTTCGCTGGTCAGATTGGGCAAACGTAGGGGGCTTGAGGATTGAAGTAGTTCAAGAGTTCCCTAAACCCTGAAACATAAGATAAACATCGAATTTTGCAGGCAGAAAGATTGCGGCAGCGGATTTTAGGTGCCCGCAACGGCGAACATCGGTATGAGACACACGCTATTGGCAGGTTCAGTCCGTTTCAACATCCATCGTTTCTGCCTTATTTTCACCGATGTTTTTCATACAACCTCAGGAACTCGCAAGTATCCCAGTTACCCAAGCCCCCAAAAATGGGGGACCTTCCTTAAGAGAAAGGCCCTTGACAAACCGCAACCCCTGCCCCCCAAGAACAAAATGCACACCCGGCACGCCGGGACCACTCCAACGCCATCCCGCTCCCCAGCCCAGAAACCCTCCTTCCCATAAAGGAACCCCCAGAAGGGAACTCGCAATCGGCGGTACTTAAAGGATCATGGCACTTAGTCAGTGGGGTTATAATTCAGGTAACTGTACTTATATATACTTATAACCCCAGTTAAGGGACTTATAACCTTACTTACTAGGTCCCATGATCCTCCAAGTAACCCACCTGGTGGGCTTCGGGACCGCCGCCACCGCGGCCTTCTTGCCCCAGGCGAACTTCAATCCTTCCAGACGCGGGGGCTAATCCGTGTTTAGGACTGGGCTCAGGGCTCTAGGGCTTTAGGGCTCTAGGGTTTAGGGTTTAAGGCTTAGGGGTTTAGAGGTTTGGGGTTTTAGGGTTTAGGGGTTTAGGGGCTTAGGGCTTTAGGGCTCAGGCTTTAGGGCTCAGGGCAACGTGACTAGAGGCTCTTGCTCCGTCTCATGCATGCTTCGAAGTTTCTTTAAAGCTTTGCAGGGCTTACTGCACACTAGGCTCAATTCCGTTACGACGCGTTCAGCTTAGGGTTTAGGGTTTAGGGGTTCAGGGTCTAGGGTTTAAGGGTTTAGGGAGTTTAGGGACCCGATGGACCCTGAGCACCAAAGCCCAAAGAGAGCCCGAGCCTCCCTCCGACATGGCTCGGTCAACTTTACAGGAGCGTCGCGTCCATGGCTTGAGAATCCAAGTGCTCCCTTACTATGTTCAGAATAGGCCTTTTGGGGGATGTGATGATATTATGGTACCATGCCCATACCAAGCTACATGGTCCGCTTCTTCTTGCATTGCTTCGCCTGATACCATACCACCTCTCACTTTTGAATCCAGGGATCGGGGTTTAGAGTTTCAGATTTTGGGGATCTAAGGTATCTCCGATGCAAAGTTGAAAGCTCTTCGCTGGGTCTGCGCCGGGTGTCCAGCGTTCGCGAGAGCATGAGATACAAGTTTAGCTTGTAGCTCATGAGTCTGCACCTACACTGCACTGATGATGTTTGAAGCAGCTTCCAAGCCAGCTGCAAGGTAGTCGCTGCTCCGAGCAACTACAACACAAAATGGTCGGTCCTGGGAATCAACACCATCATAATCATCATCATCATCATCATCATCAGCACCACCGTCAACAGTAACAGGAACGCAATTACACTCAGCACTGTAACTCAGACTGACGCAACCCTGATGAAGTATGACAGCCCCTCTGCGTTCAGGTGTGATAGTGCTGAGCAAGCGTGGTTCAAACTTTTCCCATCGCAGCACACGAAATTGATGATTCAGGCTTGTGCACTGGTGAAGGGAGATCGCCCCACCCAGGCCACCGAAATCGGAATCAACTTCGCGAAATGCAACTACACGCACACGCGAGTGCACCAGCGCCATGGCGCACATGACGCAGGGCTCGTGTGTAAGAACGACATCGCAGTCGCAGCACAGGTACCTGCCAGCAACACCAAAGTGTTCAGAAAGTGAACGGCGCATAACCTCTCATAGCCTATTATAATAGCTCCAACCGGCTTGGACCCGAATGCCATTTGTTGCTATCTTAAGGCCTTCCCGAAGCGGCGTCCGGTAGCAAACTAAGAGCCCCGAGACAAACGAGGATTTTGCCAAGGGCCTCGATGATGAACGGACAAGTACAGTACAGATCACAAGATGAACTGGGCAGGAATGAAATGGAGAATCCGGACAAGTCGCGTTTTCATCTTCTTGTCGTCGCCATAAACCCAGCTATCTCGTTCTCTAACTCTTTGCAAATCCTTTGCAACAACTAGAACCCCTAAAAAACTTGACTATTCTTGAGAAATCGGGGCACTCCTCTTCCTCCCTTGGACGCTTCTGCGCGTCTGCCGCAGCCTTCGCCCTGACCGCCATGGCACCTATGGCGGCCATGGCGGCATGCCTGAGCTTAGGGTTCTATAACTTCCCAGATTTATGATTTGGTTTTTATCAGCTCAGCATCTCTGCGCTGATTTGATGTAAGGATTAGCGTTGGGAGAAGGATTCGGAAACTTCTCGGGAGTCTGCAGCCGCGGCATTTGCTCTTAATTATCAATTTTTCTGTTACCCAAATGTCCCAATCCGTTCCCCCCGCAATTTTCCGCGATGTGGGTTTTAGATTTGGGGGCAGTTTTAGCATGTTCACTCGCTCCTGCGGCCCCGGCAAGCTGCAGTTCGCGCAGTCAACTCAACCCATACTATCCAGTACACACTCGCTCTTGCAATCGGAAAGCTTCGGATGCTGGAACAATCCCTGAACCTAAACTCGGCTCAATTTATTATATTTTGCTCCTCTTTCTGGAATCTTTTGGCTCTCTGCGACTCCTCATTCTCAGTTCGCGTCGTCAAATTATGTCGTCTCTCTTTCGCGCAATTTGTTCCTCTTTAAAGTCCATGTCTCGCTTTTCTTTCGAGCGGTTTGCTGCCTTTCGTTTTGTAATGTCTGTCGAAAGGTTGTTCCTGTGTCAGTTTCGCGCGTTTGATTCTTCTGCTTCTCAAACACTCAATTCCTTTTCGCGCGGGTTTGCTCGCTTTCTCTCAAACACTGCAGTTCCTGTCGAGCGGTGATAACGTTCTTCTGCTTTACACTGGCCCACAGACAGATACACCCCTGTCGTAACGTGGTACCTTGACCGATCTCATGCATTGACTAATGTCCGTGTAAGCTAAAACTCGGCCATCTACGAGCAGCTTCGAACTGTCCTCGTGGCAGCTTAGTTAAATACTGAGGCGTGAAAACGTGCTACGCACGCATTCGGCCGTGTAAAGACAAAATGCAAGCTGCCTTGTTGCGTAAAAAGGGGCAAAAAGCCTCCCGCCCTGACCTTGTACAATCCTGCGGCCTTGAGGTGGGGGGGAGGGCCCTTCCTTGCTCCCCCCCTTACTGCTGAGAAAGGACCAGATAACGTCCCGGACACGACTTTCCCTACTACCTAAGTGAATGGTAAACGACAACTCCCGCAAGCGCCACAGAGCTAGCTTTCGTGACGTCATTCCCTTTCGAACACTTTGCTTTTGTTTCCTCAAGTACTCCAGTGTCTTTCGAGTGGACTGTTTCTCGAATGCTCTAGTGCCTTTAGAGCGGTTTGCTCCTGTACCTCACATATTTCACCACTTTCTTGCGGTTGGCTCCCTGTTTCTCGAATACTCTCGCAAACTTCGACCGGCTTGCTCCTGTTCCCGGAATATGTTCATCCCTTTCGAGCGGTTTGTTCCTGTTTCTCAAGTTTCTGATCCCTTTCGAACGGCTTCCTGTTCCTCAAAAACTCTAACCCCTTTTGAGCGGCTTGCCCCTCTTTTTCAAACATTCCCGTCCCTTTCGAGCGTTTTGCTTCTACATAAATTTGTTCAAATGGTTTTCTGCTGTTTCTCAAGCCTCTAATCTTTTTCGAACGGTTTGCTCCGTGTTTCTCAAACACTCTTTTACCTTTCGGGTGGTTTGCTGCTCCATGTTTCACAAGAACTCTAGTCACGTTTGCACGGCTTCCTGATTCTCAAATGCTCTAATCCCTGTCGAACAGCTTCCTCTTGCTTTTCAATTGTTCAAGTCCCTTTCGCGCGGGTTGCTCCTGTTTCTCAACTACTTTACTCCCTTTTTCAGCGGATTGCCCCTATTTCTCAAATACTCTATTCCTTTTCGAGCGGTTTGCCCCTGTTCCTCGAAGCCTCTAATCCATCCTTTTCAAGCAGTTTGTTCGTTTTTTGAAGCATCCCAGTCCCTTTCGAGCGAAATGAATACACTAGTCCCTTTCGAATGGTTTGCTTCTCAAACACTCCAGTCCCCTTCGGGCGGTTTGCTCAGGTTTCTGAAATGTCTTCTGCGAACGTTCGAGCAGTTTGCTCCTGTTTCCCAATACTCTAGTCCCTTTCGAGGGGGTTGCTCATGTTTCTCACAAACTCTAGTCGTTTTCGAGAGGTTTGCTCCTGTTTTTCTAACACTCTAGTCCCGTTGCTATCGGTTTGCTTTTGGTGCTCAAACACTCTCTTCCCTTTCGAGCGGCGTGCTCCTGTCTCGCAAAAACAGCCCTTTTCGAGCGCTATGCTCAGTTTTTTCACAAACTCGAGTCCTTTTCGAGCGGTTTGCTCCTGTTTCTCAAATAGACTCGAATCGCTGTTAAGCGGTTTGCCCTGGTTTTTCTAGAACTTTGCTCCTGTTCGAGCGCCTACGTACTTTCCAACGCTTAACTACCTATTTCTCACATACCCTAGTCTTTCGAGTCCATTTCGAGCGGCTCGGTTCTGACACTGAAAAACTCTAGTCCTGTTTATGGGGGGGTTTGCTCCTGCATCTCGAATACTCGTCCCGTTTCTGTCGGTTTGCTCTTGGTTTTGGCTGTGGTTGTGATAATCCCAAACTGCCTAAACCCACAATCCAACACCCTGAATCCTGAAACCTTAAACCCCCAAAACCCAAAAGCCTGAACCCTAAACCCTAAACCCCCAAAACCCAAAAGCCTGTACCCTAAACCCCCCTCCAAAAAAAAAAAAATGCAAACCCGGCGGTGGGACCTCAGGGGCTCGGCTTCACTGACTTCGGACTTTGCGGCAGCGAGTACTTCGAACTCCGCCTGAGGGGTTAGGACGTAGAACTTTTAGGGTTTAGGGTTTAGGGTTTAGGGGTTTAGGGTCTCAGTGTACTTGGAGGATCATGGGACTTAGTAAGTACGGTTGTAAGTACCTTCACCCGAAGGGTCCATGTGCTCATATAGTATTTACATTGGCTTTTTAGTAGTCCCTATATAGGTACTTTGGGTCCCAAGTGTATAATATTTGGGTACATGCACCCCTAGGGTCATGGGGGTTATACGTAAGTCTGACTGCAAGTATAGCTGCTACTTGCTAAGTCAGGATCCTTTAAGTGGGCTTTGGGGCTTAGGGTATGGTTTAGGGCTGAGGGTTTGGGGTTTCGGCGTTTATAGGGCTTAGGGTTGGGCTTCGGGTTTAGGGTTGCTTAGGGTTGAGGTTTCCGGGTTTCTTTAGCTCGATTAGTTTTGGGTTGAAGGTGTGTTTCTATCGTCTGTTGGTCAGGGTTCAGCGTATAGTTCCACCGGTGTCTTTGCATGCTTGTTGGCTCTTGGTTGTCGAGGCTTCTTTCGGCTCTGTATCTCTCCCCCTAAACCCTAAACCCCAAACCCTAAACCCTAAACCCTAGACCTCTAAACCTCTGAACCTCTAAACCTCTAAACCCTGAACCCCAAACCCTAAACCTCTAAACCCTAAACCCTAAACCCGTAAACCCTACCCCCCAAACCCCTAAACCCTAAACCCTAAACCCCTAAAGCAAAAAAAAGCCCAAACCCTAAAGCCTTTTAAGCATCCTCTCAGAACCCCAGAGCCCCTTTTTTGAGGCATCTCATGCTGCTGACAAAGAACAACGCAGCGCTGAGACTCCTCTTCGAGGGCGGGCGCCGTGGCAAAAGCTTTCAGTCGATTTAGGGTTTAGGGTTTA